TAAAAGCCTGCAAACAAAATAATAGCATAAAAAAATATTTATTGATACTTCAATTCTAAAATATGTCATCATATGTAAAATGCAAAATGAAAACTACATACAAAACAAACGTATGTGAGAGTACTGTTGTATGTAAGCGAATTATTTTCTGACATGTGCACACATACGATGCTACTCGGCAAAATTTCCAAAGTTTATCAAAACCACAAATAATGTTAACTTGTTTGTTTCGTATGTAAAGATCAGCAGTTGCTTTAGACATAAAGTACATAAAATGTACTTAAATATATTTTTACAAACCCCAAAAGTTTTTTAAAATGCAATGCTTGTTAACAAAATTCCGGATTTTGCATGTACTTATATGTCCAAATTGGTATTTTAAAGATGATTTTGATTTATAGATCATATTTAAATATTTACGATTGGTTATTTACTTTGGACTGATTCGTGACAAACGTATTAAAGTCTATAATATTGGTCCGGGTAAAGGATTTGGAAGGATGTTTCGATCGTTGGGTTCTAATAAGGAACAATTTATGAAACATGTGATAATTAGCCCTTGTGTCCCCAATGTTAATTAATACAGTTTTTTATTTACATATTAATCCAATTTATTTCAAATTCAAAAAAAAACAATATGCAAAGCTGTTTTTTGTTGCTATTTTTTTTCTTTCCTTTTTTACATTAGTCATGCCAAGATTTAAAAAAAATGTCCTAAGTTATCCCTTATGTTACAGACTCAATCAAACCGAGTCTGCAACTCTCTTGTAATTTTGTTGTGATTAATGCTTCCGAGGGATCACGTTGTTTCCAGATTTTATTTACTTCACAACAGCAGGTGTCAAGTGCTGTGTGGCAGCTGTAAAAAGTTTCCCCGTTCTTCACTTCAGTGTTGTTATATTTTTCTGGTCCTTCGGATCATTGATGCCAGCACTATTAAGTGTTTGAGAATTGAGTACCGCTCAAGCCGGTGCTAGGGGCCGTGAGGGATGTTGCATTATTATTCAGTATCCCTTATGTACAGACTCAATCAAACCGAGTCTGCAATTCTCTTGTAATTTTGTTGTGATTAATGCTTCCGAGGGATCATTTTGTTTCCAGATTTGTAAAAAGAAAAGAAGTATATCGAGGAGAAAAAATGATGAAGATAAGCACAACTGAATACTGTGTTTTATATCTATTTGAAATACCCCGTGTTAGGATAAATTATATCTGCACGCATGCACAATTTGCATATATATTTCTTAATATTAGATGAACGGGTATAATTGCCTTAATATTGCTAATTATTAAAAAAAAGATAAGTTATTCCTCGCTAAAAATATGCATGCCACATTATTGACACAAAAGTTTGCAACCAAAAATGCTTGAAGTATAAGTCTGCAACCAAAATGTGCTTGAACAAGATATTTTTGTGTATTGAACGTTATCTTCGAACTTGCGAACTAAACCATTTTGTACAGCATTGACAGAAACATATTTTGTTATTGTTAAATGCAGTTCAAAACTTACAAATTCGAATAAATTAGGAGAAAAATTGACCAGAACAGTCACATGTCAAATTAAAAATATCTACATGATCAGTTAATATCTTCAATAACTTCGTCAAATCAGAATCTAGGATGCTGAAACGTTTAACCGAGTATGGCATATACATTGCATTATGGAATAGACATACTAATGAAACTTCAAAATAACAAAGAAACCCACTTGCCTAGCAAAAATTCGTTCACCCGTTTCAAAAAAATCACGCCGTGTTCGCCATTTTGTCAAGTTTGCAACCAATCCGCTCGCTTGAACCAAGTGTGCAACCACTTCACGTCCTGCCCCTTGCCTACATGAATTGGAATCCATTAAATTAAATAAATTGTGTTTTAAGTACATCATGAAATCGTAAAACAAGATATGGTCAGATTGTTTTATTTTTAATGGATATAAAAACAGAAAGCGAGTCAGAAAATATCAAAAATTTATCATGGGTATGCTGTACTATGTATGACTATACTAAATCTATAGCTTTTACTTTTTGCCGTAAAAAATGATGCTTTCTTTGGGAAACCCCCATACTAATGTAAAAATTTTTTTCCCCAAATCATAAAGGGTGGGCTATAAAAGTGTTGGGTTTTTGGGGGGTAGGGCCCCTTTTTTTTGGGTTTTTTTTATTCCCTTTCAGCAGGGGGTCATTGCCTATGGCTGCTGAAAAAGCTCCCCCTACTTTCCCTTTTGTGTTTTTTGTTTATCTGGTTTCCTTTGAAGCGGCCTCTTTTATTTCCCGACCGGTTTCGAAAGGGAATATTTTTTTTTTTGCAAACTGGGCCCTTTCTATCTGAAATTTCGGAAATTTTAGTTTGTTTTAACCCCTTAAAATTAAAAAAAATTCAATAGCGATTTCAAAAATTTTTCGGGAACCCTTTAAAACCTATTTCATTTATCGTAAAAGGCGACTTTAAAAAGTTCAAAAAAATGGAGTCTATTTAACTCTTAGCTTCCCGCAGGGTTTAAGTTTGGTTTTCATCCCCGGGTTTTGTTTTAAAATTTGAAAACCCCAAACCCAAATTAGTTTTAAAAATCTTTGCATATGGACCCGTAAACTATTCTCGCCCCTAAAACCAAAAAAACCAAAAAACCCCCATGGAGAAATTTTGATCAACACCTTATTACCCCTTAAAAAAAGTCCCCCCGGGTTTATTTGGGTGCCAGCACCCAAAAATGTTGAGAATTTGGAATTTCGCCCAAAAACCCGGTGCTAGAGGGGGTGTTTTTTTGTATTTCCCCCATGTTTAAAACTTAATCAAACCGAGTCCCGCCAAATTTTTAAAGTAATTTTTTTTTGTGATTGGGTGTTTTGGGGGTCACTTTGCTTCTTCTTTTGGATTTTAAGGGTGTTTCTATTTAATTAATTATTCCAAGACATGCTTTTTTGGAAGTCTTTTAATCCCATATTTTGATTTTGTTTAAATTTGTAAATCAATTAAGGAAAAACCCCGATGCTTGTGTGTTATTGTGTAAATTGAAAGTGTTTAAGATAAAAAAAGTTTTTTCTTTTTTAAAAACGAACGCCAAATACTTTTAAATTCTATTAGGGGAAAAAAAGGGTTTTAAACCCCTTGGTTTGCCCATTCCGTTGTTTTAAAATCGAAATGTTGAGTTTTTCTATGAATTTTTAAACTTTTGCTTGGCCCCGTGATAAAACTTTTATGCTAACTTTCGAAAGGGGCGGGTCAAAAATGAGACATTTACAGGGAATGGGCCCTGTCCCTTAAAACAAAAAAAAGAAGAAACCCAGCACGGGCCTCTGCGGCACCAAATTTTATTAATTTGATGCAGAAAAAAAAAGGCCAAAAGAAAATTTTTATTCTTTTGATTTAAGAGAGCAATCAAAATATTCAAAATTTTTTGTAATTCCAGTGGGTGGGGTTTAAAAAAAGAAGGGCTCTTATTCGTTACCACGGTTTAAATTTAATTTAAAAAGTCAAAAAAGGAAGGGCGGGTTCAAAGACCGATTACCGGAAAAGGAAAACCAGCAGGACAAAAGGGTTTGGAAAAATTTAAAAAACACCTATACACGTTTTTCTTTCATCAAAACTTTGATTTTTTTAAAGATTAAACTTTTCTCTCTTTTTTTTAATCAAAATATTTTTATAACATAATTTTTCTATGAAATTTTGGAATTTTAATCAAATTTCAGAATAAAGTTTAAACAAAAATTAAACTGCTCTACCCACAAAACCCAAAGAATCAACTTTCAAACAGTTAACGGGTTTTGTTGAATATTAAAAGGGAAAATTTTACAAAAAAAACGTTTTTAAGGGGTTTAAAAATTTTAAAATATTAAACATCGGGAAAAAAGTTTTTTCAATTAGCCCAAGCATAAATTTTTATAATCATCTTAGATTCAATACTAAATGGTCCCCGAGCCTGTTTTTTTGAAATTATAATCTTTAAATGACATTTTATTTCCAAAACGGCCCCAAACTACCATTGTTGTGGGATAGTTGCATTAAACTGTCAATCCATTTTTTTTTTGAAAAACATAATTTTGAATGAAGTAAAAGGTCACAACCTTCATAAATTGTTTTTAAATATTCATAAGGTATTGATTTGATACGTAAAATATTTAGTTGAAGCTGATCTTTTGTATTTCAGTCAATGGAACTTGGGATATTTTCCGATTTCATCAATGGTATTACTATTTTCTTTAAATCATTTTTGGAAATAGTTTTGTTTTTTCCCTTTGTAGAATATCTTTTCTCAATTTGTCCAGGGAAAGGGGGAAAATATTTTTGTCACTTTTCCTATCTATATTCAGTTGTTGGACAATGAATTGTCTGTTTTAGGTAAGATCTTCAGTAATGAAAGCATTAAAGCTGTCACTTTTTTATGCTTAAGATTCTCCATCCATTTTCATGATTTAAGTTTACAGATAAGATAAAATGTGCTTTGGGCCATATCTCACAGAGCCTAATAAATGAGACCTTCTATGTTTTCAGCAGAAATTGGTGGCCTAACGGACATTTTGTTATTTCAAATGTTCACTATTTCTTGTTATAAGATCTTAACTTGCAGGTTCTTTGTGTAACTTTAACGATTCCTTTTTGTTGTTGTTAAGAAATATCTAAGTTTAGATATAATGTCGGTTTATTTAATTAAAAAGAAAACCAGGACACCTTTACGAATATTTTCATAATTAAAATATTTTCGGATTGATTCATATTAAATCTATATGTTTCTTTCTAAATTCATTAGGTGTCATTTTTATCAATCTAGAATGTAGGCGCTTTCAAACGTTCTCTGTTTGTTATTGATATGTTTTATATAAAAAAAACACAGATAAAGAAATTGTTAAAGTGTAGTCATTTAGAATGCACCATTAAACACTTTTGAGGAGAGAGACTAAAGCTTAAAAATATCTATAAAATTTTGGTTGGTCATTTTGCAAAAACATTTTAAATGATGACCAATTGTCTTGTATCTTTGGAATAGTACAAAATAACACAGAATTATCTACATCATTTATTTAAAGCAAACATTAAAATAGTTTACATATAATAGTCAGCTCAAATGCATACAAAACCATAAATTGGATTTCAATACCATGAAAAATATACAAATGAAAGTCCAACATGACATGTCAACAACAAATGTCATCTGCAAAGTCGTTCGTAAGCTTAGAAACCGTTCTCAGTATTGCAACTAAGAGATCTATAACAGTGTCACATTATTAACAAGTATGAGCTTACAAACAAAAGTCACAATCCTTCCCGCAAATTTCACAAACCTCAGATCTTCGAATAACTTCTGGTATGTAGAATTCTGTCACTTGCTTCGCTGCAAAAAGTTGTACAAGTTAGGTCAATTTTGAAAGGCACTTAACTGAGGCTTTTAACATGACAGGAGAAAGTTTGGTACCATTAAATAAAGGTATGAACCAAATATTTGTGCGCAGTTTTAGAACATTCGCTCATTCCCTTTTCCGGAATAATATTTTTTACTGTGCAAAGTTACTTAAAAATTAGGTTTAATTTCAAATACGGATGTGAATCACAATACAATTCGGTTTTCAATTTGATTCTTGGTTATCTTTTGCAATTTTGTTTTTCGTTTTAAATGGCCAATTTTATTTATGTAATAATTTCAAATTTTATTAAGTCACTGTTTTCGACCAGCTCTGAAAATTTTGTGATGATAAAGAATGAAACTCAGACACAGTATAGTTACACTGCAGAATCTATGTATGAGAATCATTTTAAAACTTAGCGAGAAGACCTTAATGATACACTGTGTGCAGGACTACGCGATGCATTGTTTACAGACTTTTTATACACCGTTTACATGAATCCTGTTCAATGTAATCCACCAGGTTAATATAGGACTTGCATGTATATACCTTATGATCAAGATTCAAGATTTCATTTAAAACATACAGTATAAACGTTGCTAAACAAACGATATTATGTGAATGTTAATTGACAATATATCTACGGTTGAATGGAGTGGTTCGGAAAATTTGCTTTGAACCCACAAATATAATGATTCAAGGCATTATAAAAAATCATGTATAAAAGATCGATGGAAATTGAAAAATAAACACTGTGACTTACTTGGTTCGTAATAATCATAGATTCGGACTGCCACAGGCTGAACGCCGGCAACAAGACCTACTCGTTGCATTGTTACTGTTGAACATGTCTCACCAGCGTCTATCTGCAAAATAGCATGACAATATTCAACATTTTATACCATTTCAAACTTTTAAAAGCTATTAAACATAACTGTGTAAAAGAAACGATTAAACACCACCTTTCATCATAAATGGACTTTCTTATTATAAATTATAAGATAAAAACAAATTAATATACTAAGAATTAGTAACATATACATAAATTCGATTTTACCTCATCAAAGTATAGAATTATTTTCCGCAAGTCGATATCCGCTCTTTTATGATCAGGTTTTGAATACACTGAAACCAAATCGCCAACAAATCCAGACGGACTTCCGATTTCCATCACCGCCATTGAGCTTGACCCTTCCTCTAACCATCTAAGAAAATATGGTTTTATAATTTAAAAAATGTAAAAACTTTCTTTAAAATTTTAGTAAAGATATATAAACTGAAATAATCACTGAATAATCACTACTTTAATAAGGATTTAAGAGAAGTAAAAATGCTTTCTTGAGTTCTGTGAATTAATACATGGTCATTAGAAGAAATAAGTGATGAAACTAAAGATATGAAATTTTCTGTTATTATACCTGGCACAAACCATCACATCAAAATCATTTGCTGTTTCTCGTGGAATAGCAACATTTAATTGAAAGCTTTGTTTCTGATCATCACTGTCAATGTTGTAGGAAACTTCGATCTAAAATAATTGAAATATAAATGTATTCCAGTGAATACGCTGTTATGTGGTGCAAAAATACTATTCTAAAGTTCTTAAGCATTTAGGTATCTTATATTATCATAGCTTGAATATTACGAAAATCAGTTTGTTAATATAGGCTCAAACTATGTTATATACATCTTATATCACAATGCTACGGAATCAGAAAATTAACATTTGTAAAATAACTAAAACATTAAACAATTTCCTTATGATAATAAAAACAAACAGAAATATGGATAAAATAACAACAATAAAACTCATATCCCTATGGTATATATCTTTAACAAAACACTGTGCCTATTTTGTGATCTGCGCTGCTACTACAGTAACTGCGTTTTCATATCGATCACGGTAACGAGATATCATATCAAGTCTGTAAGCAACTACACCTTCATTAACAATAATGTGGCATAAAAATTCACTTGCTAATTACTGATCAGTTATTAAGGAAAGACGCTTTGGTGGACTGAACGCCAAGGTGTAACAAAAATGTGTAACATTCAGCGAAAAAAACAACAACAAACTACTGTATTATCAATAATCACCGTTACCTGGACGAGAGCTAATCCTGTGCCTGTCGCAGTTACAGTAACTGCTCCCACATTCGGTGGCAGCTGAAACAAACACAAATATATGCAAATTATCAAAACTAACACACACCCTAAAACGTTATCATGATTACTCTATTTTACATAGCATTTATTATTATCTTTTCTGTAAAACATATTTTTAAAATATTTAATTTATCATAAACAATTTTCCTTTAAATGCGTGTTGTGAAATGTACCTTAATAATGTACAAATTGCATTACTATCTCCTTAATCAACTATTTATTATATATTGTTGGTTTACGGGTTACTTACGTCTCTAGATTGTAGAACTTGTGCGTTTGTGTTTTGTATCTTTAGCGTATCGGAAAACCCAGTGCCTTCAATTTTTATTGTGACATCATGTACAGGTGAGTATATAAGCGCGGCCATTTCTGCAAGTCCTTGTAATGCAATAACTGTATCCTAAAAATATTTATATTTCTTGTATGTATGTATATTATCAGCAAAGTAAGTATAAATAACGTCTTTTATTATATAGAGGATATTTGTTTGTTTGTGTGTAAGATGAAATTTTATTACATCGAGTGGGCTTTAAAAACAGTATTCTCACGAGTGGCGTAGCCACGAGTGAGAATACTGTTTTTAAAGTTCACGAGATGAAATAAAATTACATCTTACACAACAAACAAACAAATTTTCTTTTTATTTTATGCTAAAAAACAAGTTAAAACGAAATTTCCATAATATTAACGTAAATATTAAAATCTGTTTTCCCCATTGAGAGCCCCATTTAGTCGGAATTTCTCATTAAAAACAAGAAGTCTTGAGCTGAAAATTAAGTCCGACAATCAACATGAAATGACAGTGATATTATTTATTTTGTTAAAAAAATATGAATGATCGTTTGTTTTAAAAATAGAAACAAACAATTCTTGTAGGAAAAAAAATCCAACCATCCATCCATATTTCTGTTTCTTACTGCGAACTTATATTAGACCTGGCTTTGTTAAATGTTATCGGCAGCCATTTTTTAAAGTTGTGTATTTCACGGGAGGAAAATAATTGTGTTTGATTCAGAGGGATATCATTTGGATTTGTTAGTCATACACCTTTTTAAAAGAAAGAAAACATATTTGTGGATTGAAACAGACAAAAAATAAGTGTTGACATATGTGAAAACAAGAAAAAAGCAGCTATGAAAATAGAAAACTTGGAACTTGCTCGGAACGCTGGGTATTTAACTTGTTCTACGAGCTGATAGCTGTCATTGCTTTTCAATTTTTCATAAAGCATATGGCAGTTATTGCTTGTAGGATACTTTAATATGCCCAAATGTCATCAAGAGCAGTTTGCATGTGGAAGGAATGTATTTTTCAGACTGTAAAAATGAAACAAACAATTTAGAAATGAAACTTGGTGATTGGAATTTGAATGAATAGAAGTAACACGGGGGTGGAACCCCATATGAATCTCAAAAATGAGCATCGGTAAAAATGATATGTGAATTTCCGCTGCACCAGATGTGAAGCATAACATCAGATGTGACTGGAATAATAGGCCGATCGAAGGGTAAGTTTTCATCTTTTCAAACATTTATATAAAATTCAATCCTTTTTTTTAAGAAAATCGAAATGTGATTCTACCCTCCTGACTCTCCTCTATATTACCCCTTGTTGTTTTGAACTTCTATGCAAGTCTTCATCGAGATATTCTTTCCGTCGTGGGTTCTGGTGTGTCCAAAACATGCAATATGAATGAAGAAAATGTCACTAAACGGACTCAAAAAACATAGATTTTACGAAATCTCACTACAGGTCGATGCTAAACATTCAAACAAATCCTGGTTTATATATTTATTGAGATTTGGCTACATACAAGGGAATCGCTGCTCAAAATTGCATTTGAGCTCCAGATGTGCTGAAGAGATTCATATGTGCATAGCATGAAAAATTTGCAACGATCTAGAATTAATTCTATTGTGTATCATTCTGTAATAAATACTATTATCCGAAATAGACACATTTTCACGAGACGAGCTTGAATAACATAGTATCCATATAGAAAGAGATATAAGACTTCTGCATACGAAAGGTTTTTAAAAATACGTAGATATGGTGGAAGGCCTTTTTTTGACTTATTGACGTTGTGTGTACTGCAATCTTTCCCTTTTTATGTCACCATGCATTAACTAAATTAATTAATTAAATTAATTATTCACTCAATTGCACTGTCTGCTTAATAGGAGAGTAATGTTGAAGCTTGTTTGAATTTGTTATGATGCTGTAAGAAAGTTAGTGATAAACTTTTAAAAAAAGATCAAAGAAGATTTGCATATTTATTTTCCACATTTAGAAACGTCCCTGCAGTATATTTACATGGTTCACTTCATGCCCACAGTCGCAATTATGGGTCAATGCCTATCTGAATTTATGCCTGCTCTGTAATTTTTGAAGTTTTAAAGAAACTTTAACATATCTTAACCGTATTGAAGCGGGACATGCGTAGCTCATAATGCACATAGATTGTTTCCTGAAAATGTTCATGTACGCAAAAGATCAACTAAACTTATTCTCCGCTTTTATAACTGTTATTTCAGTGGGAACTGTAAATTATAAAAACTTTCGTAATTCGTTTCTTTTGTTATTTTTCAGGAAAATGGGTCGTTTTCTAGGCACAAAAAAGAAAGGTTTAAAAAAACTTTCAAGAATAAAACGTCACGTGTATCGTGAAAAGGGGAAGTCATCAGCGCTTACATATCCTTTTTTTCGCCTTTTTAAATTGTCCCCATGTGTCAAAAGATTCCGCGTATCGCAGACTCCAAAGTCCAAGAATTCACAGTAAGCGCACGTATTACTTTTTTCCAATTCAAAGAAAAAACGCTTAATATTCAATTCACAACTATTAAGTCCCATGAAATGTTCTCCACAGAAAGGATTTGCAAAGAAAAATAAAGTCAGTTGCAATGAACAGATAGACATTATGGATGACAATGGGTTACATAAAAAGTAACCAGGTTTCGGGTGGGAAATTTAATTTTATGGAGAGAAGCCAATCATAAATTTGAAAATTTTATGTTTATTAAAATTCACATTTTGTTTATCATGCGATAAAACATATTAAGTATATCGAACTCGATCTTATGTAGAAATATCATGACCTGGGGCGGCATCTCGGTTTTCCTTACAGACAATGTTTCTCAGCCCATATCCTGTAAAGAAAAACCTTCGATGTCGCATCAGGGCCATGACATTTACACATAACAGTCTGTCGCTATAACTATAACTTGTGGAATATTAAAGTTATAGATATTTTTATGAATGTAAACATTATTAAAGTAACATATTATATGACACAATAGGTACTCATAAGAGTACTATCCGCTCTGCGTCACCATTTTCATGTACTCGAGCCTTTTAGTATTTCTAATGCTAGTATAAGCTAGTAAGCTCTGTCACTGTGGTAATCAAACACACTAATGTTACAATTAAACTTTCAGCCATAGATGCAAAACCTATAGTGTTTCTATACATTGGCTATTCAATGATTATATGGAACAGGTCCGTAGTTTTGTAGATGGTTTTCTACATCACTTATGAATCTCTTCAGCACATCTGGAGCTCAAATGCAATTTTGAGCAGCGATTCCCTTGTATGAAGCCAAATCTCAATAAATATTTTAAACCAGGATTTGTTTGAATGTTTAGCATCGACCTGTAGTGAGATTTCGTAAAATCTATGTTTTTTGAGTCCGTTTAGTGACATTTTCTTCATTCATATTGCATGTTTTGGACACACCAGAACCCACGACGGAAAGAATATCTCGATGAAGACTGCATAGAAATTCAAAACAACAAGGGGTATTTTAGAGGAGAGTCAGGAGGGTAGAATCACATTTCGATTTTCTTAAAAAAAGGATTGAATTTTATATAAATGTTTAAAAAGATGAAAACTTACCCTGCGATCGGCCTATTTTTCCAGTCACATCTGATGTTATGCTTCACATCTGGTGCAGCGGAAATTCACATATCATTTTTACCGATGCTCATTTTTGAGATTCATATGGGGTTCCACCCCCGTGAGTAAGTTTTCTTCTTTTTATTACTTTTGACATTTAAGTTATTTATCAATTTCAGCTTTGCGTTTTCTTTAAACAGCCTGACATTGTCAGAATTGTTAGCAAAAATAAAATTGAGGTACTCCATGGGAAAAATCTTAAAAAAGTAGTTTCGGCATTGAAAAGTGTGAAATTATATTTTGATAATTTTCAAATATAATTTTCACGGATAAATCAGTAATCCACTGAAAAGCATAAAATAAAGCTTGATCTCCTGCATTTACCGATCATTGTATTTCTTTTATTTGAAATTATGAAATGTTCATTGTGAACACATTCTCTTACTTTAAAAAATCTTCACTTTCTCCAATTGTTCTCACCTGGGTTGAGGAGAAACCTCCATTGGGGTTCCTCTGTTCAGTGACCCATTTCAAAACTTGTACACCGCTTGGATCAGTACTGTCGTTCTTGTTTGCCAAAGTGAGAAGTGCATAAGAGGTCATCTCTATATCTTCTGCGACGCCGTTTCTCTTTTCCCAAGGTTTTATATTTGCGTTTCCCTTTTTAACTTTTTCCCAGTGTTTTGTTCCGGCTAAAATAAATAATATTGTGTTGCAATTATACCTTTTTGTCATTTATGGTTATTATATTAAAAATCAAATTAAATTTGGTTGTTGTAAACACATGCTAATGAAAAATGATATGAAAAAGAAATTGCATAAATTGTTACCTTCCGTCTTGGCTTTTGCATCAAGCTTTGTCCAAACTAAAGAAGCTTGAGAACTTTGAGCAAGTTGAAGGGCATATCCAACAATTGAAAGATCGTACACATCTGTAAGAGTTGGCACTTCATTCTCCAGATACGACAATGCTTTAGTTTGAACCATTGATATCTTCTTAGCAACCTAAATCAGAAATGAGTGTTCTACTTAAATCGCAAATGTCGGACAGTAAAAGGATATTCGTCACTTACAATAATCGTAAATATTTTTTTAAACAAAAGTAACTTATAATATTAAGAAGTGAATAACAAGTATACAAAATTTAACTTACCCCTTTTACTACTCTAGCCTCGAGAAGCGAAATCATAACATATGCCGTCAGAGTAACGTTTCCTGAGGTTGATCCTCCCTAATGATTAAGACAAAGTTGAAATATAAATGTCAGCACAACAGCGCAACAACATATCGTTTTAGTTTATTGATTTTAAAGAATTTGTAATTACAAGATTAATAATTTCATGATAATGATGATTAAAGTAGTAAATGCTAATATGGTAGGCAATACCTATTAGAACTTTAAGACCCTCTTGTTTTAACAAAAATCGCAAAATTATAAATAAGTACTTATACGTATTTGCTTGGACATAAAAATAAGAACAAGTAAGAACCTTCCAGAGCAACTAGACGAGTCTAATGGAATCGGTTTAATTTAGTTCGGTCATGGGTGACAAATTGGGAGTGCAACACACTTGACACCTTCCAGTACCAACTTATATCAGCTGTCACACAGACCTCACACCCCTTGATATTCAAGTTACCTGCATAGCCTTATTAAGTACATTGCCTGGCTCTCTAAACGTCCCATCGGCATTTTGCTGATCTATAAGAAAGTCTACTGCCTTGTTGATAACATCATCATCAACAAATATATATGGTTTCGCCTGAACAAATGATTTCAACACAAAAGCTGTCAACCAAGTACTACCCCGTTTATCTCGCTTTCCGAACGCACTAAATGAACCATCCGTGTGAGCGTAAGTTAACTCCCTCTGATAACCTAAGATATAATCAAATTATTAGATTTTGCTTGAAACAAACATAAATAGTTTAATTAACATTGATATAACTAATTTCATTAATAAAATAAAAATAAACTGAAAGATATTATTAAATGGTATTAAACTTATATTTACCTGTGGTCAGAAAATTCTTCGCTTTATCCATTATATTTTCATTAAGGTTGTTTGTTGCCTCTAAATATTTTACAATATATATATTAGGAGCAAACTTCAGCATGTTTTGTTCGCCACATCCAGTTGGAAGTTTCAGCAACTTGTCTAAGCCATTAATGCTTGGTCCCATTAAATCACCTGCCGACATGAAGAAATGTTTTATAAATTTATACGAGATATTTCTAAGGCAATTTAAAAAATCAAACACATAGTCTTTAATGAGATATATATTTTGCAGTTTCAAGTTTATTACAGGTAAAAAACATGCATTTTCGGCCATTTTTAAATTTGAAAAAGGTTATATGACAAACGGAAAATCTACAACGAATTACATGAGTGCCGTGAGAAAATATGCTACAAATTCTCTGAAATAAGCCGATATATCATGAAATCAGTCATAAATTCAACAACAAATTTTAAATAGCTTAAGACTTCTGTTATTATAGTACCACTCAGCTTTGAAAAGAGTACACATTCTACCTACCAATTACAGTTGCCGTAATCCTTTCTGATCCTTTAACTGTACGGAGTGGATACTCAGTGTTTACAGTTTTTGTAACTGTTCCAGAATTTCTCAAGTCGACGAGAATGGGTAAATTATATTCACGTGGAGTACCTTCAGCCTTGAAATAATAACATTTATATAATTATTATGACACATTTGTATTTTATATGGCAATGGTTAATAGAAATGTTATATAATAAAAGCCAGATATATTAATAATGATTTAAAACTACAAACTACATACTACAGACTTTAATCCTCATAGTGTGCTTGCAACACATATTTAATAAAATCTTTTAAGATTACCTTGTTTATTAAATGTTTCGATTAAGAACAGTATATTATGAACTAAATTTTTACTAAACGGTAAAATTAAACGTTTCAAGTTAAAATCTTGAACGCGTATTTTTATATGTTTTATCAATGTTTGATCTTTCATGAATGTTATCGCACCTCGACAAGAAGTTTTTTCTTTACAGCATCAGCCTGAATTGGTGTCTTCGCTTGCACGTTGATATCAACTAGCCCTATTTTCCGTGGTATGATAGGAAAATACACAGCTAACACTTCATCAGCGCCGACCTTAAAGAAATGTTGCGACATAATTATGGGATTTTAGATTGTTTCCGAAGACAAAGTGTAAATGGATATATGAAAAAATATTTAAAGTCAAACTATATGTATAATATCAAACCCTATCCACTGGGACACTTTATCAGAACAAACAAAAATGTTTAATTTGTTTCTGATGAAAACAATACATAAAAATAACACTCACAATGAAACTCACTATTTACAATGACTTAAGTTTAAACACTGGAAACAGCATTGGTGGCACTATACAAAAACAAATTGGTTTATAATCTCACAACCTTCACCTTTCTGACATTCTGAGACTCAAATAAATTCAGCGCCTTCTCTGCTTTGATTGTATAGTGTCACCAATGCTGTTTCCAGTGTTATAACTGTAGTAAATTGGCTATAAGGCTAATTGCAACACTGATATTCAATTCAATGTTTATTTGGCTTAAACAATTTAAAAAATAAATAAATAAAAAAACGTGAGTTGCCTTAACTGGGATTTAAACTCCAGACCTCTCGCTTCTTAAACGAGCGAGTAACCCATCGACCACGGTGAAGTTATAAAATAACATCCTGAATAAAACCACATTATTCTAAAGTAGGGTTTGTAATCCTTATTATTTTTGAGATATTTTGTTGACGGTAAACCTGTTGTTTAACACTGATGTAAATAATCATGAAGCTTAATATAATCATGTATATCTGTAAAGAATTACACAATATTAGAAATCTTCGACCAATCGGGAACTTTTTTTTTCTTCCCCGGGAAGGCTTGAAAATTAATGCGCCTGTCATTTGACAATCTTTACGGAGCGATCCCCCCTTAATTTCTCGGCGTTTATCTACTTATAAAGGGAAGTAACCGCTTCGAGGAGTTCGGACTACTTTCGGCTTTTGCAAATAAGCATATCAGGGTCTGAAATTTTGCTACCATTATTTGTTTGGTCTGACGACCCAAACAAATAAAAAGCATGAATAAATCTGCTGTGTATAACAAGTAAATTATGGGGCATGGAAGATGATTTACTCGAGTTTGACTATCAAAACAAATGCTTCATTTTTTGTGTAGGTTAACATAATTGACAGTCTCAAGTGCCGTTTCCACTTTCCCCGATCCGTCCGATCCTCTTGTTTGCCCACTGGTTATATTTCTGGTGGTTCTTAATGGATGAAAGTTGTTAGGAGGCTACGTTCCATGATCGTTATTACCCTTTAATCTTAGATCTGATATTTAAAAGCATATTTACTAGTTTAGTTCCACACTTACCGTTACTGTTCGAAAAGCATCAATGGATGCAATAGATGTTTTGGTTCCTTCGATTTTGACATAATCGAATTCTGAGCTTTTCTTCAGACTGATTGATGTCTGTAAAATAAAAGCATTTTATGGATTATATTGCATTAAGCAACGTAGTTTGAACTCATTTGTACAAGTTAAAATGACAAAAAGTAATGAATATCAATTCCACGAAAAACAGTTGTCATCAGTGCCTTCATTACTTCAACACTGATCCTAAATATGTACTTGTTCAAAAATAAATGCTTATTAAGATTATGTTGAAAACATACATAGTAATATTCTATGATGTACTATTTCATTTTTATATTTGTTATAACAGAAATTGATGTTAGAATATTAGAAATCTCACAGATAAACTTACAAACAGTTGTTGTGGACTGTAGTTGTGAATGTTGACTTGTATTATCACTTTTTCTCCCCTTACCACGGAATAAGGCAGGTTTACCGACACAAAAAAGGGCATGGTAACTTCAAGCTAGAAATAATAATGTTATAAGATATTATTTTAACAGAAGCTTTAAAACACAGAGCTTAACACAATTCGAATAATGAAAGAATAGAGATGCATGATGACCACACCGATAGAAAGATGACTATTTATTTTTTCATTATTATTTTCTTGACTGGCAGCAATATGCCATTAATGAAGGATATTGAACTTGATTAAAAAATAAATTAAAAAATAAAGTTCTGGTAGAGTAAATAAATGTATATGACTAAATGATGACGAAAATATGAATTCACATCAAAAGCAAAGATGAACAACGAATTCATAAAAGTCTCACATGCTTGTTTATTGTCTTACTTTAATTTAGTTTTATTGAACACAAAAACTAAAAACTTAATTAAGGATATTCACTATTATACCTGTGCTGCTGATGAAGAAATTCCAAGGCCTGAATCTGGATGGATAGCGAACGCAGTGGCTACCCAAGATGTAATGGTATCTGGAACAGTTTCTTCTATTGAGACAGTACCATTGGATCTGTTTAAACAAATAGCACACAAGAATGTATTAATAACATATTAACTCTGTGAAAGAAGGATTAGTATTAATGATATACTGAACTAGATTACCAGTAAAAACACAACAATGGCAACATATCATTCTGCCAATTAATACATTAGACGTTTTATAAAAGGTCACGTGAAATGAATTTCTGATTTTGCTTTTCTCTGTATTATTTTGCAATATTGACCTGAGACATTTAAATATTAAATGACCTTTTGTTGGTAATTATCAGATTCCGAAGTAAATCTTACGGATTTTAAAGTATGGAATAACGGTATACATGGTTTATTTATCTTAAAATTACTTTCACAAAACTTAAAAGCCTCAGTGAAGAATAGAAGACTCAGCGAATGAGTAGAGTCTTTAACTTTCAATTTGAAGGTATAATAGGCTCTAATCTTAGTGAAACATCACTTTTTTATCAACTTGATTACTATGTTTTTCTGCATGCCAATCACCCATTGTACTACTTTCATATTGAAATTATGAAAAATTTCATGGGCATTTATATCACATTATGAAATTAAAGAAAAAAACAACAAACCGAAATATTCAAATTATTTATCCACTAATGCAGCATATGATTAAAACAATATGAACGAAATCTTTTTAAAAAAAGATAATTTATGGAGGATACGAACCTACAACTTCGCGATTGTAATACCATCCTACTTACCACTAGGCCATCGGGTCGTTATTATGCAAATCAGAGTATCGGGAACGTTACTTTCATTAAGAATAATTGGTAAATCGGATTGAATTATGAAAATTAACGAAAAACCTCCCAAAAATTTATATGTCTCGGGTCAATATTGCCAACCAATATAAACATTACCCATACTTATAATATACTTACAAATTATGACAATATGCATGGCTAAAATATATCAATATGAATGGATAATATACAATATAGTTCAAATTAATGGATTATATAATTCATAGCAGTTTATATGTGACTAATGCTAGAGAAACTAATTGGAAATCCTACAGATCATAGTAATTATAGTGTGTTTACATATGATATAAAAGGAAGATGAGCAAGTAGGAAAGTAAAGAGCAGATATAAAATATCAAGAAAATGAAAATTTGGCTGTGGTATAAGTTGATAATATACATTTCAGAATCTGCAAAATGACATAGAGACATACTGTATTTGAAATGAAGACCAGATCCATGTTTCTGGAAAGTGTTTTCGTATAGGGGCCACATTTTCTGCTTCTTTTGAGCCTTTACTTTTAAATGGTGCCATTTTATTACTAGAAGTACTCTGATGCTTACGAGAAGGCTGTTTTTTCTTCTTCGTCTTTCTTTTTCGATTGTATTCTTTCCTTTTTACCACTAAACATAAAGATATATACAACCATAATTAAAAACATAGTACGGAAACAAAATATAACATACTGCACAGTTTCTGTTCTCCATAACCAAGTCTCTGGGAAAATTTTCCTTGTTCTTTTTACTGGTGCAAGCTCTTCTAGTGGTACAGCAGCCGCGCTATTCAATGACACATCTTTCAAGAAACTATCATGTTTAATAGCGGCATTAGAAGCAAAAGCTTCATCTGGTCCTGGAGATCCAAATGCCATCACTCTACTCGGCATCCGAAACATTTGCCGGCGTCTTAACCAGGGCGACATCGAACCGATCATGTAAATAGGTTCTGAACAAGATATGAATTCTTGAAAATAATTGTAGAACAAACAAATGGGAACGTATACACATTTATAACGTAATATATTTCTAGAATGTATACTGATCATTATTTGTTTATTTCAAGAAATATATAATCAAGATACAACAAGGTCATTTATTGTGCCTTTACATATAGCAGATAGCAATTCTAACAAGTTATTACTAGTCTTTACTTTTCGTCATTAAAGCCCGTCTCACACAAAACACGGTTGGGCACACGGTTCCCATACGGTATACTCGGTTATATACGGATCGACTGGTACGAGTATTTAGCTCCAACCGTGCCTGTGGATTAGTTGGAACGAGTTAGACTCGAATGTAGCACGAACATGTACGAAAAAGGACGGATATACTCGGTCAAGCAAGGTATGAACACGATTTGCATACGAATACATACGATTGTTGCACGGTTCCAAGTACGGTCTAGTACGGCCTGGTACGATTAAACACGACTTTCACTCGATTTACTCGACTTTCACAGGGTTTACATAGGGTCCCGCCGACTTTTGTTCGAGTTATGCTCGAATTATCACCTATTCGTGTATGTTTTGATATAAATTGACCCATTCTGATGGCTTGGCTTATAAATTTTCGAACTTTCAACGAAGAACACCTATATATATGTGAATATTGGATATACATGTATAAAACACTGCCAGATGCAATAGATGACAGGATAAGGGAATTAGAAATCTTGATAAGACTGACAGACTTTGATGGGTCCCCCTGCTCATCAGGCTCGGCAGGGGCAGAAGGTTGAGTGGTCGGCGAGCCTGGGTGGCCCTTCTTGCATTCTTTCTGTGCTTGGGAACCTCCTTCTTTGTATACATTCTAGTATGATGTGATGCAACAAGTACTCTGGGTAGATCTAGCAATTGAGGGTGGCAGCAGGTAGTTGAGGTTTTCGTTTTACAGTCCATGTAAGACCGTACGAGGCCATGTGAGACCGTGTATACCCGTACTATACCGTGTATGCCATGTATGCTGGCACAATTTGGCTCACTCGTAGAGTGAAATTCAAATACGGTTGTATATACGATCTCAATCGGTTTCACACGGTCTCCTTCGGTCTTGTACGGTCGTTTATACGATCATACACGGACATTACATCCGTACCAGTTTTTTAAAAGTTTTAATAATCATACATGGCTAACACAGATACACTGAATGTTCGGTTGTATGTACGGTTTACATGGGTGGCCAACTGTATAAGCCGTGTGTTCTGTGTGAGATGGGCTTTATCAATTTTTTATAGTGATGGGTCTTTAAATTTGTTATGTGAAAGGATGAACATCGATAAATTGAATTTGAACTTCTATGATTAAAATCAAATAGTTTGGATATAGGACTGAGGTTGGTATAGGGTTATGTACAGACTCAATCAAACCGAGTCTGCAATTTTTATGTAATTTTGTTGTGATATATACCCTTTTGTTGTATATCCATATTCATGAATATCCATATTGTATACGAATATGAATATAATTCCTGACCTTTAAACTATTACGTAAAGATTAAAAACGTACACAATTTAAATCGAGTAAGTACGAGTATATAATAAAAGGGTCATTATGAGATCCTGGCTTACTTATATTCACTAGTGTCAAGTACAGATCAAGATTTTCTTTTAATGACCCGATAATAACCTGGCTTGCAATGTAATCGGAACACCTCGGCAATTATCAATAATAACCCCGGACTTATACGATCTGAAAGTACTTCTACCGCGTAGTTTTAAATATAAACAAAAACAGAGGATGTAATCTTTAATAATGTATAACGAATATGTATATTTGACACCCAGAGGAAAATTAAAGTCTATTCGGTAAAATTATTATTGAACACATGACTGACAATCATAATCAATTGAAAATTGCTCACTGATATACAATTTTAACAAAATCCGAATAATTGCCAACAGGTAGACAATTTGTACTTTCGAATGATAAGTATATGAATAATGTACTGTTTACTGTTATTTCTGTAATTTTACATACTTTAGGTGGACTTTTACTTGATCTTTTTGAATAAATATAGTCTTCAACTCCTAGGCTTAAATTACTATTTGTTTACATGCTAAGCTTCTTAGCGTAGTTAGACCGAAATACCGTATTCGTTCTGTGTATATTTACTATTGTGTTCGAGGTCCTTACCCGAAGACTGACGGAAAGGGCCGAAAAGTTGCGATTGGCTTGCAATGTTCAGATTAGTCTCAGGTCATATGCATGTATGTCTGTTCAGTTCACTCAAGTCTATATTTATACGTATTTCAGTACATCAAACTTACCTTCTTTGTGCTCGTAGATAAGAGCATCGGTAAACACGATTACCCCAGCATCATTGAATACGTCCATTACATCTTCACCACCGACCGGTATTGGCATTCTCATACATCGCCAGTTACATCCAGAAAAACTTGACGACGTTTTCCTGGGTTTAATTGCATACCTCCTAATCTCTTTATTAACCTGGGCAATAAAACAATTAAGATATCATTAATTTCTTTATCTATGTAAATCTTACATATAAACAATTAAGAGCACATAACATGTTAAAAACTATAACACATGCTCAGAATATGTTATTTTGTTAAGGTGACTTATAGGTCCTATGGGCCGGGTGTTTATCTTTGTGTATTTATGTGTATGTATATACGTATAACACATGTCACTATAATAAAGAATTTACTTACTTACTTACTTACTTACATTCTTTTGCTTAGAAACTATAAGCCGTTTTTCATGGAATGGCAACAAAATGTCACATTGAAGTTCCCATGGTCTACACTCCTGCGTGGCATTTTCTAAATTCTGAATTACAATTTAAATTTTTGATATTTTAATGTTGAGATCTGCATAAACTGATGTTACGAGACATGGACAATGTCTTTCTTTTACAAGTGCCGTTATTAACAACCTCATTAAAATTTTGCAGTTACATATAATCATTTTACCTGAGACTCTGTGATATCATTGCCAGTGGCCATCAGTAATACACTTTTATCTACTCCGAGCACGTGCACTGTTGACCCATTATCTGCTTTTACATCAAGACTTATTTTATCTATTGGCTCAGCACTAGTTTGGTTAAATTTAATGTTAACCTAAAATATTAATTTCATACTTTAATATAAAAATACAACATCTTTTCAGATGAAATAAATATATATTATACAAGATGGAATTTTAGACTATGGATATATACTGAAAATAAAAACCGAGGCGATAGCCGAGATAAAAATGAATTGTTTCAATACATATCACATCATATTCACCAGCTTAAAAGTATGTATCTATATTATTATATATCTTATATATAAAAAAAACACTTTGATATGGCTCTAATTAATCGACATTGCTCAGTTTGTTTTCTTTTTCTATGATTGGAATATATATATAAAAGAAAGCAAAGGAGCGCTTAATTCTCCAGATTCCTAAATGCACATCATAATGACGCCAACGAAGATAGACTATTTTGACTTTTATCGGCTGTCTAACACCGGTTTGGCGCATTGGTAGGAATTGACCACGAAAGTCGTATAAATAAAGATAAAGTTCCAAAACTGCCTTGTAAGTAGTTTCTGCAGATGTTAATTAAGCATTATATAAAAGAAACGGATATTATCAATACATTAATCTTTTATTGCTGCCTTTGTTTAACCATTTTATTAGAGGGTGTACATGTGTTAAAAAGAACAACTGGTGTATATTGGCAGCTTTTCAACGTTTGATTTTCTTCTTTGTGTTTAGTGACAGAAACACAAGTCATTTTAAACTTATATCTTTGGGTTTCACCAAAGTTTCCTCAGAATTACATACAACAACAAACAAGACGTGACGTCAAGTCATATCGGTCGATTTTTAGAATATCTCTTTAAGGAAAAAAGTGAATATTACACATTTTCTCCATGCTTAAACTTAGAAAAGCAACATACGTTGTATCTCATTTTACATTAAAATACAATAAATATTATACATTAATGTTCATACTTATACATAACAAATTAAACGTATATAAAACCTTATTTTGGAACACGCCTTGTACATTAACTGCCAATACGTCTGCAATTACTTCACCATCTGATCTTACAAAATATATAACTACTTTTGCTTTTGGTGCCATAGCTGAAGTTACATTAAACGTCCATTTCTGACGCCTATTGGACATTGGTATTGTTCCAGATTCAACGATAGATCCTCTCGAATAAATCTGAAAAGTAATCAAAGATAGTTAAAAGTAAATGATTTACTTAAAATATATGCTCTTCAGATGATGTATGCTAATTAAAACTGTATATGACCGCATGAAAAAATTAACGTAAAAGCTTAATTTTTTTTCATTTATTTTCATTTAATAGAAAACTATAATAAAAGTCAAACCCTTTTGCTCTATACGGTATAGATAGTTATGTTAATGTAGTTTGTGTGAATTAGACCATCTAAAAGTGTAATAGGTTCCCTATAGTTCATGGCAGTACGTAAAGCCAGAGTTTAAGTAGATGTAACAAATAATACATACACACTATTACTGTTTCATTATTACCTGATAACTAAGATCACCGTGGATATCATGTGTACTTCTTATTTCTAAATCCACTGTGCTCCCAGCCTGAAATATAGCATAGTTATATGTATGTGTAAATAGATTACATAAAACAACCATTGGAATTCAAGGGACTAAATATTTTCTTATATATTTGCCATCAATGTTTCCAGTCTGTATGGAACAG